TTTATTCTAAATCCTGGCCTTCCTCTGCCACTGGGGAACTGAAAAAAAAAATGTGTGTGTGTGTGTGTGTGTGTGTGAGAGAGAGAGAGAGAGAGAGAGAGAGAGAGTTTCAGGGGCGCCCTGAAGACAACTCTCCCCCTCCCCCCATCTTTGTTAGAGAGACCCAGGCACAAGGAATGCAGTTAAACAGGATTGTCTCAGGAGGCGTGGGATGCAGATTTTAGCTTCAAGTTCAGGAGAGGAGAGGCCTGGCGTTTGGAGGTGTTGAATCTCCGCACAACAGGGAGAAGAGATGGGGGTTTGGTTCCCAGGCTGTTTGATAAAGCGCCCCGAGGTGCTAAGTCCTTGGATGGGACCGCGGGTGTGGAGACAGCCACCGTGATGGCTGTGGTCTTGGGAGACACAGCACAAGCCTCCATGGCTGGACCTGTGGTCAGCGGGGAAGGCCCTGGTGAGCAATAATTCTCCAATGCCCAGAGCTGCCCGATGAATGGCTGGTGGAAGTCATCAGCAGTAGCTTGAGCATGAAGAGCAAGAGAACTGAAGATCGTCATCATGAAGTAAGGAGCAGGTTCCTCCTCATTTCCCAGAATCGTGGGGTCCTAGCAGGGTCAAGGGGAGGAAGGCAGAAGACCCCAACAGTCACTAACATTGGGCATCTCCCCAACTTGGTAAGTGGCATCTTGGAGCTGAATTTAAAATGCACATAAATAAATAAAGCATTGGCTGAGGCTTGAGTGTGGTGGCGCCTTCACGACTGGTGTGTGGCTATTAACGTGTTAATGACTCTCAGAAGCAACACTCTCATCAGCACCGCGTCATGGCACATTGCTTGAAGCAGGACGCAGTCGGGGATATACTGGCGTAGGGGCATCTCCAACCGCCAGCCCCTCTCTCACAGCCTCGCTCACACTTGCATGCAAACTTGGCCTCATCGCCTCTCTCAAGCCAAAGCCCCTCATCTGGATACTTTTCCTGCCTCACTGGGAAGGCGAGGAGAAGACGTGAGTACGTGCAAGTCAAAGAAGTCTGTAGAAGGCTGTGATTTTACAGTGCTCGTTTCTTCCACCTTCTTGTCATATATATATTTTTAAAAGATTTTATTTATTTGTTTGAGAGACAAAGAGCACAAGCAGGGGGAGGGGCAGAGGGAGGGGAGAGGGACCAGCAGAATCCCCACTGAGCGGGGACCCTGACTCGGGGCTCAATCCCAGGACTCCGAGATCATGAGCTGAGCTGAAGTCAGATACTTAACAGACTGAGCCACCCCAGGGCGCCCCCCTTCTTGTCATATTATTAACCTCACAGGTTAGAGGGAGGGTTCGCTGAGACAGAGTAAAAGTACGTGGCCCAGGTGGGACCTGCTGGGAACTTGATCACTAGCACTTGCCTCCCCCTCTGCACCATGGGATTCAGGCTGCGGGCCGTGGGCAGCCTTTCAGGAGCTGAAAAATACAACTGTGCAGATTTCAGGGGGTGGGGTGTACAGGTCTTAGAGAACTGGCCAGGCCGGGCTGTACCGTGTGGGAGGCATTACCAAGGCTGAAGCTACAGTCTGTTCTGGTCTTGGCAGGATCCAGGAGATACCACACAGTTCCCCGGGGCCAAGTTGGCTCTCTGACCAAGGTCTGCCTCTTTCCCTGTCTCCTGGTCTCTTCTCCCACGGTGGCTTCTCCCACACTGGCCACGTTGGCAACCCGTGCCCCCTGCTGCCCACTGCCCTTAGCCTTGGCCCCGTCTCCTGGCTTAACAGAAAATCACCAGGCAACTGTCACACTCTGGAGTCAGAGCACGTAGGGACTCGAGGGGGACCATGGGGCTGAACTGGACAGAACTCTAGGCCCTGGCACTTGATGGTCTGAGAACAAATACACATGCTCACATGTACTCAAGAACATACACACACACCCACCCAATTACACGTCTATGCACAAATGACATGCAAGTATAAACATACTCACACATAAATATTCAAGTACTCACATATACAAAGTACACACAAATAACCCGGGCACACAAAATATACATAAAATGCACAAAATGTGAGCATACACAGCTATGCACAAATTTACTCATGCACACAAGTACATATAAACACAATGTAAGGCAAATATAATCTCAGATACCCAACTAGAGACGTGCTATAGCAATTAACCCATCTTTTTCTGTTTCTCCTTAACTCAGTCAAGGCTGTTTCTCTGAATCATCCCAGTGCTTCCAGGCAATCTCTTGTCTACAAGGATTCATAAAGGGGCTTATGAAATATTGCAAAGGACTGTCACAAGGCGGGGCCTGGAATCCCCGGGGTGGAACTTCTGGTGTGTTCCAATAATAAAGCAGATCCTTCTACTGCAGTCAGGAAGTGTCAGGTGTGTTATGTGCCTTCACTAAATACTTTCTGTGGATTCGCTCATTTGGTCCTCCTTAATAACCCTACTAAGTCAGTACTATTATTACCCCCATTGTACAGCTAAAGAACCAGGCTCAGAGTTGATAACATTTTCCAAGGTACTATAGGTAGGAGACGAACTTCAGAACCCAGGCTTGCCAGCATCCAGCTCTGCTGTCCCATTCCGTGTTGAGTCCTGCAGACACTGAATGACATCCTCAAGGACGTCCAAGCAGCTCCATTCCCAGCTCTGGACCAGATCGAGAACTTGCTGGATGTTTTCTCCTTTTATCCCCTTTCTGTTTGTGCTCCTCCGGTGACAATGCAGGCCACATGATGATTTCTCCCTGGAGGAGAAAGAGTCTCCTTGCTAGCCTTCCCTTGCTTGCCTCTGCCCTGGAAATTATCTTCCGTCTGGACTGCCAGAGTGATTTTTCTAGGCAAAAAAAAAAAAAAAAAAAAAAAGTCTGACCATGCCCCCCACGGTCCTCTCTAAAAGATCTTACTCTTCCGCATGGCTCACGGGACGGCTTCCCCAGCCCTGAGCATGGCATTGAAGCTCCCCGCCCCCCACACGTGGTAGCTGCCTCATGTCCCTCTGGGTCTCCCCTTCTGTTTCAAACATTCACAACCACAGCTGTTTGCTGCCCATTCTCCTGACCTCCCTCTGCGGAAATCGGCTTTCTGTCGTCCCTTCTTCTCCCCACCCAGGAAGCCCTTGAGCAGTTCATGTCCCCTAACCAAGCCTCAGTTTTGTCAGATGTGAGTTGCAGGTTTATGATTGCCCCTTCTGACAGTAATAAAAAAGATAAATATGGATGACGATAATAATGATCATGACAAACAACAATAATAATAGTAAATAATTATTTAGCACCTACTATGTGTCAGGTATTTTGTTAAGCAATTTACATAAGTTTTCCATCCCATTTAATTAAATCAGAGATAGTTCTGATCTGTATTTTATCGTAGGATGCTCAGGAAATTTACCTCGCTCGGGGTCAACAGGTTATCAAATGTCAGGGCCAACACTCACATTCAAATCTGTGTGAAATCAAAACCCATGCTCCAATCCTGGTATTCTAGGATTCTAGAATTCTCTTCTCCTCCTTCCATTGTTTCTGAAGTGCTGCCCGAAGCCCAGTCCTTATTCAGCTTCTTGAGATGCTGGACCGAAGGGACATAGTCCATGTGCTTTCTCTACACTCTGGAAGGACTTGGGTTACTACCCCATTAGATCACTTCTCCCAGGTCACTTTCTCAGTGTATGTTATTTATTCAGACCATAGGTATTTATTAAGTTCCTGTGATGTGCTGGGTGTGTCCGAGGTTGTTAGCTCTTCCCCAATATCCGTCCTTCCCTCTTCTTAGTAAGACTACCCCTGACTTTTAGCTAGCCATGGTTGCCCAGAATAAAGAAAACCTTTCCAGCCTACCCGGCAGCTAGGTGTGGGCATCTGAATAAGTTCTGGCCAATGCGCTGGAGTGGAAGAGGTGTGTGCACAGTCTGAGTGGCGTCCCTTAAAGGGAAAGGCGTGCACTTCATTTCCCTCTTTCTCCCCTCTGGCAGGAACTGGGACAGGCCTCTTGGGTCATCAGACAAAGCTGCCTGGGCAGGATGGCAAAGCGCCAAGCTAGGGGCAATCTTGCTCCCTGCCGAATCAGGAAGCTGCTTGACTGGATTTGTCCATAAGAAAGAAATCAATGTCTATCTTTTGGAATCCTTGTTTGGGGAGAATGTCTGTTCAAACAGTTGAATTAATATCCTAATCCAAGTGATGTTATGGGCAGTGGGGTTACAAGGCAAATTTCTGACCTTCTAATGGGGGAAGACACAAAGATTAACCATGTAAAATAAAGTTGAAAAGAACAGATAAATCTAAGCAGGTCATGAATCAAGGTATAATGACATGGAGCGACTGTAGGTGGCAGTTCCCTTATCTAGGGTGACCAGGAAAAGCCGATCCAGGAGGTGACTTTCGAGATGAGACTGAATGATAAACAGGAGCCAGCCCTGGAAGGTCTGCAGGAAGAACTTTACAGGAAGAACAAATAGCAAATGCTTAAAGCCCTGAACTGGGAACTAGACTGGCAAGTTCAAGGTTCAGAAAGACATACCCATGTATCCTTCTGTTAGAAAGCTGAGAATAAGTATTTTTTAATAGATATTCATGTATTTTTTAAAATACATTTTTAAATTTATTTAGGAAAGAGAGAGCACGATGGGTGTGGGGGGATTGGGAGGGGCAGAGGGAGAGGGAGAGGCCGACCTCTGGCTGAGCAGGGAGCCCCACCGACCTCGGGACTTGACACAGGGCTGGAACCCAGGACCCCAAGATCAAGACCTGAGCCAAAAGCAGATTCTTAACCAACTGAGCCACCCATGTGCCCCCCAATATGTATTTGTGTATTAATTAATTAGTTCTTTTGTGGGTCTTGAGAGGCCAGTGGGCTTTCATCTGACTGTCTCTTCAGAGGGAAGGAAAGCCACTGTTGGCACGGGTGCTGGCCAGTTTCCCACACTCTCATCTTGTGCTTGGCTACGATATCTGCTACACACTGTCCTTTGGCCTGGCTGATCTCATATAAATCCTCTCCCGCTAGAATTCACTGCCCACAACCCTGCCAATAAAAGCGAGGCTCATCCCCACTGCAGAGAACTCTTTCCATCCCCTGCAACACGGCCATCTCCTTCTCTTGTGACCTGCCAGCCATGAAGTTTCTTTTCCTGTTTCTTGTCATCCCTCTGGCCATGGATCCAGTGCTCTCAGGTAACTTGGGTCTCTCTCAAGTGTCTGGGATCTTGGTCATGAACTTCTTGCTTTCCTCTCCCCTCCACTGCGGGCAGCACAAAACTTTTCCTCCTTTGATGGGGCTTTGCGAGGTTTCCCCAGGATCAGCTCACATCCACTTCTCTCCCTGATTCTTTTTTGCCAAGGTGGTGGGATGGTAGCTCTTTGGAGCACCTGACACTTAAGGGCAGGGTGGTATTCTGGTGGGACCTTGAGAGAAGGCGTATGGGTGACGGGGTTTGGTACAGAGGCTGAGGGTGAGCTGTGATGGGGAGAAACACCTTGGGGTTGGAGTGGTAGGGGGAAGATTTGGATGAGCTGGAGGTAAGGTGCTGGGCTCCCCTGATGGTTTGGGGTGGGTTGGGGGAGGGGATGGGATTTTGGGTTGAGTGGAGGTGGTGCTGGGGGTAGACTGGAGCTTGGGCTGGAACTGAGAGTTGGTACTGAATAGTGCAGGGTGTCTGATGACTGCAGCTTAGGATTGAGGTTGGTGAGTTGATTAAATTTGGGTTTGGCTTGGAGTTCAGACTCAAGGGGCATTGAGCTGGGTAGGGCTGGGATTTCTACCTAAGATTGGACTGGGTTCTGAGTTTGAATTGGGGGAATATGGTTAAGGAGGATTGGAGATTGGATTGTGGCTGGACCCAGGTGAGCTTAAGTTGGGACCAGGCTGTTGATTAGGAGCTGGGTCTTTTGAAATGAGGGTGAATCCCCTCCGACCCCTGATATTACAGGTAAAGTTTATTGTCCTTTCCCCATCATTCCCAAGCTCCATTAGAGGAGATCTTCATTGGTATCAACTGATCCCAAAGTTAGGAGTAGCAGGTTGGGGGATGGGAAGACAGAGGGTGGGATGCCTGAAAAAAGCTTTCCTAAAAGCCTTGGAGTTCCCAAAGCTGGAACAATTATCTCAATTCCCTCCCCTCTCAAGATCACTTCTCCCTTTCCTGGGACTGGGTTCACTGTTAGTTACTCAACTCTCTCCCTTTCCCCCTTGCCCTGTTCCTCCTCCGCCTCCTCTCATCTCGCCACTTGAGGGATACTAACATCTGCTTAATGGTTGTTCCTGTGCCCAACAGCAGAGTGTTGGATGGATGGAAAATGCCGGTTGGTGTGCAAAAATGATGAAGACAGTGTCATACGCTGCGCAAATCGTAAACGGTGCTGTGTCCCTAGTCGTTACTTAACAGTCCAGCCAATGACAGTTGAAAGAATGGAACCCTGGACCGTTCCTCACACGCCCAAACCAGTAAAACAAAAGACCAGATCCAGACCTGGCAGTAGACATTATGGATAGAAATGGCTTTGTTTCAGGTTCCTTAGCTCCCACATTCCATTAAAACTCACAAATCTGTTTCTTGTGTCTGTCAATCATGAGGAACGATGCTCCAAATGTATTGAGGGCGGGGGGTGGTGGCTGATGGCAGGATGGGGGTTAAGAGGTAGCAGAGAGACATTGCTGGGGCTTGGCCACAGCAATGGGATGATAGTCACAGTCTTGAAGACAGTTCCTCATCTACCAGCTGCAGGAAAGGCTATTGGAGTGGGTTGAGGAGCACATCCGGGGAAGCCAAGAGACTTAAAGGCACAGCTGGTCGAAAGAGGGGGAGAAGCGCTGGGTGGGAGATTTGCTCCATCTTGGGGGTGAAGAGGCTGGGGGTGGACAGGACCGAGTAGAACCCAAATCCTTGGGTTTCCATGGAAGTTGGTTGAGATGCCTTTTGATGCTGGAGGCCCCACAGCCCCAAGGATCAGAAGGTTTCCAAGTGCTAAAAAAAGATAAAGCACATGAATTTACCCATTTATAAATGAGTTTGTTCACTCTTCAGTTCTTCCTTTCTTTCATGGATTTGATCACTCAGTCACCCCAGCTCTTCCGCTCACCACTGTCAGACTGCTCATATCCCCCTCCATGCTTCAGCTTCCCCAGCTGTGAGGTTGGAACCCTAGAATCTATCTCAGGACTGTGGGAAGTGGGAGAGGAGATAATGGAGCTCACCGTGCCCAGTACATTGTGAGCCCTATAAATGTTAGCTGTTGCTATTATTGCTCATTGCTTTCTGCAAGTATTTAAGGAATATGTGCTGTGTGCCTTCCAGCTGTGTTAGACTCTGAGGGACATAGAAGTCTGTCTCATTTGATCTAAGAATTTAGCCCGGGAGGAGACTAACCCATGGGGAATATTTGAGGATGCCGACCAGGCATCTAGAGGACCTGGGTGTCTTCCTTGCTTTGTTATCTCAAATCCTATTCCCTGGGCCCCATTCACCCAACACGGTTGTTCACCCCTGAACTGTGTTCTCTGCGGTGAGGTAAGATGCCAGGAGCGTTCTGTAAAGCATGGTGCTTGACATAGAGACGGATAGAAGGGGTTCACTCTGATCCATGGAGATAATTTGTTCTCAATTCAATATTTCTGCTCTTAGACTCTGGGAAGACACCTCTTCCTCTGATCCTGGTCCTACTCTGGGCATCGTCTGATTAAGTCCCTCCCCATGGGGTTAGGAGTCAATGGGGGCAAGTGGGATATATCCATTTAGAGACGGTGCCCTCCTCTCCTTCCAAGACCATGATTTGAACAGCTGGAGCCTGGAATCCCCTGCCCAGAGAACACTTGTGCTTGCTTCCAGGGACCACGTGGGCTTTCCCCTGGGAGATGGGGCCCACCACGTGTGCACCTTAGGCAGGAGTACCACCAAGGGACACTCCTCTTTGAGGGGCAGGGGGCCAGCTTGGATGTTCAGGCTGGAGTGTCCATGTCTTGCATGAGAGGGTCCTCACAGTGTGGGGCAGAGTTGGGGATGAGGGAGAAGAGCGCTGGGCTGTGGGCTGAGCCGGCTCCCCTCATGCCACCTCGTTCCTGCACAGAACTCTGAAGAATCCAAGCATTATAAATTCAAATCTGCTCTTTCAGGTCATTATGAAGGGCTCTTTCACAAAGGACCATGGGATAGATTTTATTTGTCCCACTTGTTAGCTTGATTCATAACTGTTAAATATGCAGACATACGGCAGATGAGCCTCCATTTACATTCCTGTGCCAGGACCCACAAACTTTGGGTTGTGTCTGGAATTTGGATCGTGCTCTGGTTCTCAACCCATCTCCAAGCTCCCTTCAGAGGCAGGGGCTGCTTCAGCTGTGCTTTCCACATTCTTGACACCTGTGTGATCGGGGGAGACTCTTAGGCTGCCCAGCAGAGCTACCTGGGTCCCGAGGCCCTGGGTGAGACCATCCAAAATAGTTCCTCACTGGCTTCTCTGCCTCCAGGTTTTCTTTGCACTGGAGTCTACTATCAGAGGGATTCTTTCTAGAAGATTCATCTGCATGTTACTCTCCTGCTTAGATGGCTTCTTTTGCTCCTTCCTGCCCAGGGTCGAGTCTGAAGGCCTTGGTGGCCCAGCTTCATCTCCCATGACTGCTGCTCACGGACCAACCCTCTCCAACATTGCCTTTGTTCATGATTCCCCTCTACCTCGTCCCCCACCACCAGGCTCATCTCTGTGATGAACTCCTTCTCACCCTCAAAGTGCAGTTGATGTCTCTACCCAGGAAAGCCTTCCATAAGCTCTATTTCTTAATAATTATAATACTAGTAGCTATAATAATAGCTCCCACTGTCACTCCTTCTGTGTCAGGCACTGTGCTTGCTGTTCATGGGCCTGAAGTCATCCCATTCTTGCAACAACCCTCTGGGTTTTTTTTTTTTTAAGATTTTATTTATTTGCCAGAGAGAGAGAGAGGGAGGCAGGAAGAGGGAGAATCCGGCTCCTGCAAGGGGCTTGATGTGGGACTTGATCCCAGGACCCTGGGATCATGACCTGAGCCAAAGGCAGACACTTCACCGACTGAGCCACCCAGGTGCCCCACAACAACCCTCTGATTATCCCTATCTTACTGATGAAGAAACTGGGACCTAGACAGATGGTATAATTAGCCAAGGTCACACAACAGTAAGATAGAGCAGGGATTCCAGCTAAGTTCTGATTGGCTTCATAAAGTGTCAGCCTTAAGCAGGGATGACTCATATCACATTATTATATAATTATTTATTCAGAGCTCACTTCTCACCAATCCCCCAAACACACACATACTGGATAGAAATGCTTGGAGGTTGAGACAGCATCTTATTTACATCTGTATGCTAGGTGATGCCAGGTTCCAGGAATCAGCGTGGGGTCCTTCCTGGGCTAGAGGGATTGGAGGACTATGGGATCAGATATATTTGGCTCTGGCTGGCAGTGACAGGAAGGATGCTGAGCAGCTCCGGGGGCTTGCTCAAGTTGGTTCTCTTATTCACCAGTTAGTTTGCTCTCAGAAGACATAGATTTCATAGTGTGGGAGGTGGTCTGGGGACAGTTGAAGGGTCCCGCAGTACTGGGGCCTGTTCTTAATGTCATGCCCTCACCAAATTCATTCATTACGAGGCACTCAGTCCACAACATTAAGAATCTCCTCCATGCTTAACACGTGCACACAGAGACAACCCTGGGGCGTGATAGAATGGTGAGGAGAGAAAAAGGCTTGGAACGCACCATCGAGCCATGTGAAGTTTTTAGAAAGCACTTAACCCCGTGTCTGAGTCTCTGGACTTGGAGTCTGGGCATGTGAAATTTTGAAAATTCCCTCAGATTATTCCTTTGGGAGGTAAAGCTCCACCCCTTCCAAGTCCCTTGCCAGATTTCCTTCGTTCCTAATAGCCCCCAAACTGTGAGACTCCCTGAGCTGGGCAACTTCCCCTTATCTTCCCATTTCATGGGGGGGGGGCAGCGGAAACTGAGGTCCAAGGAGGAACCGTGGCCTGCGTTCATAAGTAGGTTAGAGACAATGCTGGGATTAGGAAACAGTCTTCTCTGATTTCTGGTGAGGGGCTGAGGGGACGTGGAAGGGATATGACGTAGATATAGACAGTGCGTGGGGCATATAGTGACATGGGGCCAATGAGTCCAGGAGTTAGGAGCTGCAAAGCCCCTGACAAAACTGTGAAGCCCTTTCTTGGCCTCTCTCCCGGGGGAAAGGTTGAAGGAGGCTGGTCCGCCTGATCCACCTTCTCAGAGGCACACTCCGTACACCCCCCTTTTGGATGCTAATCTCGCAATGGTCCTTCTTCTCTGAGAAAATGGAAAAGAATCTTATCTCTGGGGGATGTGACAGAAAGGGTGTGGTTTTTGCTCTTGTAAATCTTCTCTGGTCAAAATTACATGGAGTAGATCCTTTTTATTCAATGCAAGGGCTTAGAATATCTGTGTGTGTGTGTGTGTGTGTGTGTGTGTGTGTGTGTGTGTGTGTACACATTAGACTTCGTATTAAACCCATTTGGACACAAGAGACCCTATGTGCCTACCACCAAGTTCAAGGCCTGGCAAAGACTGGGTGTTGATAACTGTTGGTGGAATGAAGGAGAGGCCCATGAACGCCAGGTTCAAAAGTTTGGGCTTGATGTTGAAGACAGTAGAGGGCCATGCTTCCAGCTGTTATTATCCAGGGAGGTACCAACCTTTCCCAGCCCCGTCTCAGCGTGTGAAGAAGGCAGCTCTGTACCTCAGGAAGAATATGCGCTTGGAGCCATAGTGAGTGGAGTTTGAGGCCTCGCTCTGCCTCTAACAGTTATGCGGCCTTTGCCAGAACACTGTCTCTCTGAGCCTCTCTTTCATAATGCAAGAAGGAAAAATAGAGACGTCTACTTCAGAAGGTTATAGTAAGGAGGGCATGTATTGCATGGAGAACTGGGTGTTATATCCAAACAACGAATCATGGAACACTAGATCAAAAACTACTGATGGGGCACCTGGGTGGCTCAGTCGTTAAGCGTCTGCCTTCGGCTCAGGTCATGATCCCAGGGTCCTGGGATCGAGCCCCGCATCGGGCTCCCTGCTCGGCGGGAAGCCTGCTTCTCCCTCTCCCACTCCCCCTGCTTGTATTCCCTCTCTCGCTGTCTCTCTCTGTCAAATAAATAAATAAAATCTTCAAAAAAAATTAAATTAAACAAACAAACAAACAAAAACCCCCAAAACTACTGATGTACTATATGGTGACTAACATAATAAGAAAAAAAGAAGGTTATAGTAAACATTTAACAACATAAATCAAATGGCTCACAGTGGGTGATTTGCAAATGGTGGTGGTTATTATTTTTATTTCTCTTTCCAGTCAAAGGATCATTCCTGTTTCGGAGACCTCAGTACCAAGGGGAAATAATAATAATATTAATGGCTAACATTTACTGAATGCTTACTCTAGACTAGGAACTGCGTCTCTGGTTTCTATGTGTGCACAGCCTCCAAAAAAAAAAAAAAAAAAATCTCTGGTTACCACGGAAGGACTAATGTCTGTCTAATTTCA